TAAATACCCCATAAAAGAAAAAGAAAAAAAAATCAGACCTCTTCTCTGGTATGCAGGGAAGACCAAAACATGTTGCATGCATTTTCCAGATCATGGGGGCACTGCGCCCCTATTCCATGTGATGTGGAAGGGATAACTATATGGCTTCCCACTGTATGACAGGGAGTAGGAAGGCAGTGTGGTGATGCTAGTCAGACTACCATATACTATAGAAATGGTGCCTAGTGCTAAATGTTAAGTGGCTATTCACTCTTTCATGCATGCATGCATTATTCCTCAATCTACTTCTATTTAGTACCATTTAGATTGAAGTCACTGTTCTAGTAATGGGTAAATAGGCCTCCAATATCTGTTAAAAAGGACAGTTGGATTTCCAGCAACTTGAGAAATAATCTGATGTTGTAGATAATAAAAATGATGATACTGATAATGATAAGTAGTATTTATATAGTACTTTCAGGTTTGTAAATCACCTTATACAATAATAATAGTAATAAACTAGAATTTATATAGTGTCTACTACTTGTCAGGCACTGTGCTAAATATTTGACAATATTATCTATTTGATCCTCACAACAAATCTGAGGGGTAGTGCTATTATTATCCCTATTGAGGAAACTGAGGCAAAATATGTTAAGTGACCTGTCCAGAGTCAAATAGCTAGTAAGTGTTTGAGGCTGGATTTGAACTCAGATTTTCCTGACTCCAGGCTCAGTAATATATCCACTGTATCATCTACCTGCCTTTATATACTGTATTGGTTCACCCTTACCACAACCCTGTCATATAGATATTATTATTATCCCTGTTTGAGATAAACCAAAAGATCTCAGCTATTGGGTCAAGAACTCACTATTTGACAAAAAATCCTGGAAAGGAGTCTAGTGGAAACTAGGTATATACCATCTCACACAGTATACCAAGATAAGGTCAAGATGGGTACATGATATAGACATAAAGGATAACATCATAAGTAAATTAGTGAAGCACATAAGAAATTGCCTGTCAGATCTGTGGATAAGGGATGAGTTCATGATTAAACAAGAGTTAGAGAGATTCACAGAAGGCAAAATGGATAATTTTGTTTGCCCAAAATTTAAAAGTTTATGCACAAACAAAACAAATGCAGCTAAAATTAGAAGAAAATTAGAAAACTGGGAAAAATCTTTGCAGTAATTTTCCCTGATAAAGGTCTGATTACTCAAATATATAGGGAACTGAGTCAGATTTATGAGAATAAGAACATTCCCCAGTTGATAAATGGTCAAGGGATATGAACAGGTAGCTTTCAGAGGAAGAAATAAAAACTATCAATAATCATATGAAAAAATGCTCTAAGTCACTAATAGAGAAACAAAAATTAAAATAACTCTGAGGTACTCTCACATCTATAACATTGGCTAAGATGAAGAAAAGGAAAATTAAAAATGCTAGAGGGGAGTTGAGAAAACAGATATATTAATGCATTATTGGTGGAGTTGTGAACTAGTCTAACCTGGAAAACAATTTGGAACTATGAACAAGAAACTATTAAACTATGCATACCCTTTAACCCTGTAATACTAGTCCTATATCCTAAAGAAATCAAAGGAAAGGGGCTCATGTGTACAAAAATATAGTAGCTCTTTTTGTGGTGGCAAAAATTGGAAACTGAGGGGATGTCCATCAATTGGGGAATGGCTGAAAAAGTCATGGTATATAAATGTGATGGAATACTATTGTGCTATATGAAATGATGAAGGATATGGTTTCAGAAATAACTGGGAAAACATACGAAATGATGCAAAATGAAGTGAACAGAACTAGGAGAACAATCTACACAGTAACCAAAAAATTATAAAGATAATTCACTATGAAAGACTTAGTAACTGATCAGCCCAATGACCCACCACAATTCCAAAAGACTCACGATAAAATTGAACTTAAAAAAACCCCATCATTATCTATTTTTTTATGGATAGAAAAAACTGAAGCTTAGAGCTATTCAATGATTTAAGCAGTTTAGAGTCTGAGGCAGGTTTTGAACTCAAGTCTTCCCGACTTCAGAGTGAGTGCTTTTTCTACCTTACCTGGGCATGTTACTTAACATCTGTTTTTGCACCTATAAAATGGAGATAATAATAGCACCCACCTCACAAAGTTGTTGTGAAAAATGAGTGAGATAATACACATAAAGTACTTTGAAAATCTTAAAGCACTATATTTATATTAGCTGTTATCAACAGCATCATCATCATCATCATCATCATCATCATCATCATCATCATCATCATTATTCCAGGCTCCAGTACCAATAGGAGTGAATGAGGGAATCCAGCTGGGAAACCAAGGATAAATGGAGAAAGGAGAGAGGGAGCTAGCTATCTTAGTGGTTCGCTCAAACTGTCTTTTCTCCTCACCTCACAGGATTGTTGTAAGAAAAAGTCTTTTTTTTAAGTCACAAAGTTATATTGAAATACAAATTGTTGTCACTGAAGTCCTACTCTAAAGTCTTATCAGGATGGGGAGGTGGCCTGGGCTTGTCTGAGGCTATTCTAATGGATCATAAGCCTTGGCAGGTTCTACCAGGCTAGAAAGGCTCTGAGTACAGCTACAGATAGAATGAATGTCTTCTGTCCAAGGACAACCACCAAAAGCCAGGTAGTGAAAATTTTCATCCAAAGCAAGTCATAAGGACCATCTTAGTAAGATGTGAGAAGTGATGATCTGCATTACTGAAGGGAGGAACAAATTCCAATCAAACCATGGATGCTTGAAATATTGAAGTATGAAGAATAAATCCGAGGGGCTCCCCAACCAAGAAAGAGAAAACAGACATTATTCACTTTTAGGAATAGGGAAGTGTTATGTCATCTCATCGTACTCTGCTCTCATCAGACCTCCTCAGGAGTAATGTGATCAGTTTAGTATGTCACCATTTAAGAAGGGCATAGGCAAGCTGGAAAGAGTCCAAAGGAGGTGAGCTATATTGGCTGAAAGCCATTGAAGGATGATTTGAATGAACTGGGCATGTTTAGCCTGGAGAAGACGCCAGGAGGACATAACTGACAGCTGTCTTCAAGTTTTTGAAAGACTGCTATATGTTGGAGAAATTAAACTTCTTCTGTTTGGCCCCTTAGAACAGAGCCAAGAGTAATGGGTAGAAGTCACAAAGAAGCCAATTTAAGTTCGATGACAGGAAAAAGCTTCCTAACAACTAGAACTATCCAAAAGTAGACAGGGGCAGGTGGTAGTACCAAACCTGGAGTCAGGAAGACTCATCTTTCTGAGCTCAAATATGGCCTAAGACACTTACTAGCTGGGCAAGTCATTTAAGCCTGTTTGCCTCAGTGTCCTCACCTGTCACATGAGCTGGAGAAGGAAATGGCAAACCACTTGAGTATCTTTGCCAAGAAAACCCCAAATGGGGTCACAAAGTGACTGAAATGACCAAACAACAACAATAACAACAAAAGTAGACAGGGCTGCCTTGCGAGGGGTTTTGTCTTCTTTTTTGGAGGTCTTCAAGCAAAGGCTGGATGACCCCTTGTAAGGTAAGTTATAGTGGGCATCCTTTGGCATATGGGTTATATCAGGTGGCCACTGAGGTCCCTTCTATCTCTCAAATATTGTGATTCTGTGACATTTTAGACAGCGAGGGAAGGAAGAATTTGGGCTAGAATTGACCTAGATAGAGAGACCTAGAACCAAGAGATCTCTAAGTGCCGGCTAATTAAGAGTTGTCTACAAAATAGTATGCCGAACCTGCTCTGTGTCCTTCTGATTGCCTATATGCATAATATTTGTATCCTGACCAGTATTTGTTTCCAGTTCAATCCTCACAATGTAGTTGGAGACAGCTGGTCTTCATTTTGGTTTGTCTGCCTCTTCCTACCATATTGATTAATAGTCAACTAGCATTCATTGGAACAGCAAGGTGGCACAGTGGATAGTGCATTAGGCCTGGAGTCAGGAAGATCCAAGCTCAAATTCAGCCTCCAACACTTACCAGCTGTATGAGCCTGGGTAAGTCACTTATCCCTGTTTGCCTCAATTCCTCATCTATAAAATGGGGACACACTGGAGAAGTATCTTTGCCAAGAAAACCATGGGGTCATGTAGAGTTGGACATGACTGAAGAGCTGGACTGAATGACAACAACAAACATTCATTAAGTACTGACTATGTTCCAGAGGTGGGGAACCTGTGGCCTCAAGGCCACATGTGGCCCTCTAGGTCCTTGGGTGCAGCCTTCTGACTGAGTCCAAGTCTTACAGAACAAATCCTTTTATTAAGGGGATTTGTTCTGTGAAGTTTGGATTCAGTGAAAGGGCTGCACTTGAGAACTAGACACTGCCCTAAGTGCCTAATGCGCTTCTTCTCTTAGAGGGCATTTGCAATTTAAATGGCATCCTGACCAAATGGGATGGAATGAACAATGGCTCTGGATTAGGAGAAACCACCTCTGACATTATCTGTGTGACATTAGTCAAGTCCTCCATGGGCCTCAGCTTATAAATGAGGAGATTGGACAAGTTCTAGGTATGTGATACCTATGATCCCAAATGGAGGATTCCATGAGAACAACCACTAGGTTCAAGTTGAAGGAATGAAGCTCTAATTTTAGACATCAGTCAATGGGTAGGTGAGATATCTGGAGAGCATAGAGGTCTTCCCAGAGTCCCTGAAACCACCTTCTATAGGCAGATGCCTGTTCTGTCTACCCATGAACCTGGCTCTGCCTATAATCAGGTGGTTCTGGTCTCACTCCAGATGGCTAGCCCGAAGAAGAGAGATGGAAGATAAGAGGAGAGTGGTCACCATGAGAAGGAACCCTAAGCTCTATAGGCAGTGGCAACTAAGAAGGAAGAAAGCTTTTTGTTTTCACAACTTCCCATTGGCAGAGTGAGCATATTAGGGAAACAATCACACCAATGTTTTAAGGTAAAAGTTTGGTGTGCATAGTCTCAGTCTTGCTGGTGACAGGCTGGTCAAATGTCCCTGACACAGCCCCGTCCTACCTTCCTGCTCTGGAGCACTACTGATGGTGAAAGGATGCCATTCATACTTGGCAATAGCTGGGATGTTCAAGTATATGTAATCTCCAGGCTTGTAGTGGAAAAAAGAGGGTCGACTGATCACGAGGTGAGTGACCTGGGGATAGAGGAAACAAATTAGGTCAGACAAGCATTCCACAGAAGCAAGGGAGGTTTCTAGTAGTGAAAGTAGAGAGGGTGTTCTAATTGAAGACTTTTGGGGTGTTAGAGGCCATTGAGCCCAATCCTTTCATTTTACAGTTGAGGAAACTGAGGAAAACAGAGGTTAAATGACTTGCCCAAGGTCCCATAGCTAGTAAGTATCAAAGGCCAGATTTTAATTCAGGTCTTCTTGATTCTAGATCTAAGGCTCTATCTATTGTGCTATATTAGTTATGGAGAATGCTAATCTATTAACTGGGAGAAAGCAAACATGGGGAGCAAGGACAGTAAGGGATCAGGGCAGAAACTGAGGTGGGGCATGGTGACAAAGAACACCATCTCACTTCCTTTCAGGAAAGACTTGAAACTATTTCACTATCTTTTAACATATGCTTCCTTCGTGAACCAGACTCTGACTACCATAGCTTGAGCTGATCTCTCTCTTCTTAGATAGGAGCATGGTGAAGTGGATAGTGTTGGACCTGGCATCAGGAAACTCAGATCCAAATCCTGCCCTGGATAATCAACAGGTATATGTTAAGTGCCTACTATGTGCTCCCAGACACTTTCTAGCTACATAACCCTGGGCAAGGCCCTGAAATCTCAGAGCCTCAGTTTCTTCATCTATAAAATAGGGATAATAATAACAGCTACATCATCAAGTTATTGTGAGGACCTGATATGACAATGTATGTAACAAACTTCACAAATTCTGTAGAGGTCTATCAAATGCAAACTATTAGTATTATGAGAACCCCTGTATCATTTGTAGTCTGTGCCTTATAATCAAATACTTAATTATGTAATGACCGATATCTTTCTCTTATTTATAGAATGATTATATCATAGATTTAGGGCTAGAAGAGACCCTAGAGGTCATTGAGTCCAACCCACTTGAACTTTCCTCTTCCAACCTCTGTTCCCTTAAATCTTTATGGTGATGGGTGGGGATGTAGTACGTAAAAGACTAGAGGTATAGCAGAGGAGGACCAATCCACCTTGGAGGAGAGGAGGTTGACTTCCACAATGCATAGGGTCGCCATGCGGGACAACACCAACCCTACAACTTTCTCCAGGAAGAATAAGAGACCAGGGGCCAGCAGCCACTTCCAGAAATGGGGCCCATGTATAATGAGCAGCACCCAGACCCAGATGTAGGACAGGTGGGTCCAGTAGAACACCTGTAAGAACACAGAGAGAGATAGTGACTGGGAGTTGGCTTCAAATTCAGCAATGAACTGCCCTGTACTGCCCTGTTGGGGTTGGGGAAGCTTGGACAGGCAGCTATTCAGTGCCAATGACTTCTTTTTGCTGATGGGTTGCCAGAATCAGGACAGCTATGGCCAGTAGGGCCATTCATTACTAGGAGCAATAATTTCAGCCAAAGGAGTAGCAATAGAGACAGTGTTTCTTTGACTTGTTGCCTGGAGTAGGGTGAGGATCCCCACAACGAGCCAGAGGGCTCAAGGCTTGTTGGGGACCCTATCCAATCTGTCTTTCTCAGTAGGGTAGAAACAGTTCCTATCTACTATCTGGCCTCTTGGGGATAGTACTGGCTGACTAGAGAAGGGAGCCCTGACCTGGAAGTAACCAGAGACTCTCCAAAAAGACCCTCACTGTCCTTCCTTTCCTTCTCGGGCCCTGCAAATCTTTTTTTGGTTTTATTGCCTATCATAGGTAGAAAGGACCTGACAGTGATTTTGAGTGGATGAGGGAGATTGAGAAAATTGAGAATCTAGCCAAAGCCAAGCATTTTTACTTGAACACAAAAATAGTGCTGTTCAAAGTAGTACATGCAAATTGCATGTAAATAACACATAAACATACTCATGAGTCTTTTGTTCACTGGAATACAACCCTAGAGAAGAGCAAAAGGGAGATAACTAGAATAAAGGATATAGAATGGGATGGGGATGGGGAGGCAGATAGCCTCAGATATGGTCCTGAGAAGGTAAATTACAGGGGAATGGGAAAGAAAGCTATAGAGGGACGTCATACCTCAAAGTGCCCTCTCCTCCGGACAAAGGAGCAGGAACATACAAGCATGATGAGGATGAGAAGCTGCAGAACAATGCCTGTGAGGGAAGCTGTGCCATGGACCCAGCCAATGCCAGGCCGGGTGGTGAGGAGATATTCCCAGAACTGGAAGGGGCTGTCCTCCAATTGAGAAAGGCGCACTAGACAAAAAAAATAATCCCAGAATAGAGAAAAAAGACAGATAGATGATCCCTCTGGGGACCTAGGACAACTATGGATAGCACATCAAAGGCAAAATCTTAAGGTAGTTTCTTCTGGAATCCGGGGGCCAGCAGCTACCAGTAGACTCATCAGTTTTCTAAACCACTGAGCTTTCTTCCTCCTACACAACATTTAGATTCCTGGTCATAGAATGCTAATATTGGAAAGGGACTGTGGAGATCTTGTAGTCTAGAACGTGTCTCTCTTCTATCCCTCATAGTATCCAGCTCAGAGCTTGGCACACTATAGACATGTTTGTTGAATTTTTTCCATTAAGAACCATTCAGGCATGTACAGGGTCACCTCCTGCCCTCCATTTGCCTATGCTCTTGAATCCTACAGTGAGAAAATGGAAACCTGAAGAAGACGAGTTCCTCAAGATCACCCAATTATCATATATATTGGCTTGCCTTAGATATTTAAAAGGATATCTTGAAAATGTTGTCATTTTGTTTCCCAACCTGGCCTCCATCCCACCAATGGGTGACAAGAAGAAAGACCAGCAATACCTGCTGCCACTGAAGGGAGTCACTGACTTTTTCTTTCCCCAGACAACCCTCGCTGCCCTCCTGCCCAGTTCCTGCTAGGTGCAGGACACCCACTGCCAACTGGAAGCTGACCCCTACATCCCTACTTGTGCTAGAGATAACCCAGAGCACTCTGGGACTCACTATTCTTTCTGTAGTGAAACAACCATTTGCCTCCAAGATCATCTGGACCTTGCTATCTGCTCTGCAACTTAACCTTCTTAAGTTCTACTTGACTTTTCCATTTTCCATGAACTGAACATAAACACAAGCTTTCCTTTTTGTGTCATCTCCTCTAATTAGAATGTGACCACATAGAGCAATGATTGTCTCAATTGCACCTTGAGTGCTCAGCAAAGTGCTTGATGCATAGTACGCACTTAAATGCTTCTCCATTTAGTTATATTTAATTTAGCACCTCGTTATGCACTGTCTTTCCATATTCTAATTGTTCCACAAGTATTAACATCATTTCCACAACTAGAATGCTAACTCCTGAAGGGCAAAGAGTATGGCTCTCTTTTCTATCCCTCACAAAACATAGAACGCAGTTGGGCACATCAGAAGCATGTTGGTAGAATGCTGTCCATTGCTCAGGTTGAGACCATCTACCTCTACTAACCAGTGCTCTTCATCCTATGATTGCTTCTGCATGAGGCCATATCTTACCTCTGGTACTTGATAACTATGTGACTTGTCTGTCTTTCGTTCTGAAAGAAGACCATGACATCAGGTAGGTGATACCATAACTTGCAAGTAAATTGGATTTAAGTGAGGGAGGCTGTGCAAAGTCACCAGCCACACTTTCTCCTCCCAAGCCATCCGGGTCCAGCGGCAAGATATAGATCAGGATGACTGGAGATGGCCCTGGATGCACTGGGGGACCTTGGTCTTTTCAAGCTAAGACCTTTAACAGGTCTCAATTTGACTGAGGCAATGTCCATTCAGTGACTGAGGCTTAATAAGAATTGAATTGGAGAATGGCCTCTTTACCTAGTCAAAAATTAAATAAATTAGTTAATTAAAAAATTGATAATAGCTATGTGAACATGAGCAAGATGAATAAACTCTTGAGTCTCAGTTTCCCTATCTACATGTAGCAGTAATATCCAAGAGAAAAAAGAACTACATTTCTCAGGATATGGGACCCCAGAGTACAAGTGCTCATTGGAGGAGAGTAAGAATTCTGTTTTCTGCAAGGCTGGTTGCTGATGGCGCAGCTGTTGCTTGGAAGGAGAAAGAGGCCAGCCCCAAGGGATGGAAAGTCTACAGTAGCAGAGTCCAGTAGCTGCAAGGATTTTGGCTGTCCAGCCAGCCACGGAGTGATCTGGGGGACAGTAGGACAGGAAGAGGAGGCATCCCAGCCATGGCAAGCTGAAGAGATCCAACCTGAGCAGGCAGATGGCATCTTTGTTGAAGTTCTCAATCCTCCCACCCGTACTGCAGAGAAACTTTGTCCAAGCCTTTCCTATCAGAATTAGGAGTGTTTTTGTTGTTCAGTCATTTTTCTGACATGTCTGAGTCTCCATGACTCCATTTGGGGTTTTCTTGGCAAAGGTACTGGAGTGGTTTGCCATTTTCTTCTCCAGCTTATTTGACAGATGAGGAAATTGAGGTAAACAGGATTAAGTGACTTGCCCAGGGTCACACAGCTAGATTTCAACTCAAGAAGATGAATCTTTCTGACTCTAGGCCTGACAGTCTATCCACTGTGCCACCTTGCTGCCCCTGAACTACTCTGGCAAAAAGGAGGAATGAAACCATACTCACTTGAAATGTGGGCTGTAACCATAGTCTGTTGATTTGCTATTCACTTCTGCCCTGATTGCATGTCCTATAAGGCACATGGGGCCTGTGGTTTCCAGAACTGAATGTAATGATCTACACAATTTTGTATGCATTTGTTTTGTATATAATTACATTGTACATGTTGACTTGCTCTATATGATGTAAGCGACTTTAGAGTAAAGATTGTTTTGTTACTGTTGCTATCTTTGTATCTCCAGTGCCTAGCACACTGTTTTCCTCTTAGAAGAAGGCTCTTAGTGCATCTTCACTGAGTGATAGCTGGAGCAAGTCCAATCTATACTGGAATCCATACTCCTATTATAACATGCCCACCGAGTTCAGCTTCTGCTTGAAGAGCATCAATTAGGGCAAATGTACTATTGCCCGGGACATCCCAGTTTAGATAGCACTGATTTTTAAGAACTCTGATCGTGCTTAGCTCTTTACAGGCCCTGCCTACAATGCTGCTTTTAAGCAGAGCTGGAAGAAAAAATACTATAGCAAATAATCATGATGCAGGGGGCAGCAACTCTGTAAGAAGGGACAAGCGGTAATGAGCAACTGTCCTTTCTGCTTTTGAAAATAAGCCTGCAGATAGATGGGGCTGAAAATTAGTCTCATCATTCCAGAAAGCTAGGTCAAATTATGCTAAAACACAAAAGTGCCAAAATGTCCATATCTTTTGAGCCAATAATCCCACTCCTAAGCATATATTCAAAAGAAGTCAAAGACAAGAAGATCCTGTATTACACCATCATATTCATAATGGGACCTTTCTGTGGTAGCAAAAGACTGGAAACAGAAAAATTGCCTATCAATGAGGGAATGGCCAAACAACTTGTGGTATGTGAATGGGATGGAATATTACTTCACCATAAGAAACGACAAACTTGACACATTAAGAGACACATGGGAAGGCCAATATGAATTGTTACCAAGTAAGGGAAGCATAACCAGCAAAATATTTCATGTTTTCAAGGGTTCTGAGCCTGAGGTCCTTGAACAGATTTTAAGGGCTATGTGAACTTGGATGGGGAAAAAATTACATATTTTTTCTCCCATCAACCTGCTTCAAATCTCTTCCCATCCTTTATTCAGCTACCAAAGGGATTTTCCTAAAGTGCAGATCTGACCATGTCATTCACCAACTCAGTAAACTCTTCCTATCTCTTTCAAGATCAAACACAAAAATCTGTTTGACATTCAAAGCTCTTCATAACCCAGCTCCCTGCTACCTTTCAGTTTTCTTATATTTTATTCCCCAACATGTACTCTTTGATCCAGTGACATTAGTCTCCTGGTTGTTCCATGAATAAGACACTTCATCTCTAGGCGCTGAACATTTTCTCTGTACCCCTGTACTCTGTGTGTGGAATGCTTTTCCTACTCCCTTCCCTCTCTTGGCTTCCTTGGATTCCTTTAAGTTCCATTTAAAATTCCATCTTCTATAGGAAGCCTTTCCCCAAACCTCTTAATTCTAGTGCCTTCCCTCTGTTAATTATTTCCAATTTATTCTGTATGTTGCTTGTTTGTACATATTTGCTTGCTTGCTGTCTACCCCATTAGATTATAAGACAAAGACATCATCTTTTGACTCTTTTAAAAAAGTCCCCAGTACAGTGCCTATCACATAGTAGGCACTTAACAAATATTTCTTGACTGACTGAAGTTTAGCATTTCCTTCAATTATTTCAGAACATTGTTTCAAGGAATCCATAGGCTTCATCAGACTGCCCAAAGGGCCCACAACATAAAAAAGTTTTAAGATTTAGTGGAAAGATATAGTGGAAAGAACAATGGATTTGGAATCTGAGGACTAGGGCTCAAGTTCTACCTCTGATATCTCTATGACCTCATTTAAGTAATCTCCTTGGGTCTCAGTTTCCCAATTTGTAAAATAAGGACATTGATGGTCTCTAAGGTTCTCTTCAGCTCCAAATCTAAGATCCTATTGTCTATGAATGTATACAATGGCTATAACAATGTAAATGGAAATTAATTAATTAATTAATTAATTGGATAATTATAATGACCACACACTTCCAGTGAAGAGCTGAGAAAACATGCTACTCCCCTTTCTTTGCAGAAGATGTTACGGGCATGGGTATTATAATAAGTGTGAGACTTGGTTAGTTTTGCTGAAATATTTTTCCCACCTCTTCCTTTTTCATTCTTTGTTACAAGGAAAAGCTCACTATCTCACAGAGATATTTAGAGAGGAAGGTAGTATAAAAGCAAAACCTATCAAGAAAATAGGATTAAAAGGAAATTGTAGGCCAAAAAAAATGGAATTGAAAACACAAACAAACTAACTTTCACCTGCAGGGTTGTTTGGCCAATAGTATGTGTGGCCACTGGCCGTTTATACCACACCCAAGAATCCCTAGAATATCCCTATAAATTGGGAAAGGCAGAGTCCAGGCTCATTCTCTCTCCAGCACAGCTCAGGGCTGGCATCCTTACATATCAGTGCAATGGAAAGAGATTTTTAAAATATGGTCGCCCTTGTTGGAGCCTCAATATAGTTACCAGCAACAGGACTCACCTTCTAAAGTAATACAGGCCTTCACAATGATGATAAGTTTATTGAAAATCTACATCCTAGATGTGATTATACACAGTTCATGTCATTAAAGCTGGAGGAAGCAGGAGAAACTTGCAGAAAGGGTTGACAAATCCTCCTGGTAAATATCATTGTATGTGCAGGACGCGTGTTCTCCTTGGCTGTCTATCGTCTACAATTCTTAATGTTCTGTAGATGCTGAACCAGCCTTGACCAGAGGCAAAGGATGTTGCCACCTCAATGGTATGACCAAAGGACATGCTCTCTCTGTACAAAGATACCACTCTTTGGAAAGGAAAAGGACCTACATGTACAAAAATATGTATAACTACTCATTTTGTACTGGCAAACAACCAGAATTTGAGAATATGTTCTTCAATTTTGGAATGGCTGAACAAAGTGTGGCACATGATTGTGATAGAACACTATTGTGCAATAAGAAATGATGAGCAGGATGGTTTCAGGAAAACCTGGGAAAGCTTACATGGACTGATGCAAAGTGAAGTGAGCAGAACCAGGAGAACACTGTACACAGTAAACAGCAATATTGTAAGGATGATCAACTGTAAAAGACTTAGCTATTCTGATCAAGATAATGATTCAAGACAATTCCAAAGGACTCATGATGAAAAGTGTTATCCACCTCCAGAGAGAGAAGTGATGAACTCTGAGTACAGGGTAAAGAAAGCTTTTTTTAAAAAAAAAAATTAATGTTTTTTAAGATTTATTTTTAGTTTTCACATTCACATTTGTAAGAGTTTGAGTTCCAATTTTTTTCTCCCTCCTTCCCCCCCCCAAGATGGCATGCAATCTGATGTAGGCTATACATGTACAATCATATTAAACATATTTCTGCGTTAGTCATGTTGTAAAGAAGAATCAGAACAAAAGGGAAAAACCACAGGAAAAAGAAAGAGAGTGAGAGAGAGAGAGAGAGAGAGAGAGAGAGAGAGAGAGGGGGGGGGGAGAGAGAGAGAGAAAATAGTATGCTTTGATCTTCATTCAGACTCCATAGTTCTTTCTCTGGATGTGGACAGTATTTTTCATCATGAGTCTTGGTATAGTCTTAGATCATGATATTGCTGAGAAAAGCTAAGTGTATCAAAGTTGATCCTCACACAATGTGTAGCAAGCTTTTTTTTACTTTCTTAATTTTTCTTGTTGGTATTGGTGTTGGTGTTGGGGTGTGTGTGTGTGTGTGTGTGTGTGTGTGTGTGTGTGTGTGTGTGTGTTTTCTTTTGCAACATAGCTAATACGGAAGTATGTTTTGCATGACTTCTAATGTATAATCAATATCCTATTGCTTGCCTTCTCAGGGCATGGAGGAGGGAAGGGACAGAGGGAAATATTAAAATATTAAAAAATAAAAAATATTTTATGTGTAACTGGGCAGTATTTAATGAAATTATATACACACACATATATATACATACATACGTACATATATATGTATATATATGTACGTGTGTATGTATGTATGTATGGTAAAAGAACTACTCAGTTCAAACAGGCAATAAGTGTCTGAGGCTAGATTTGGACCCCGATCCTCTGCCTCCAGAACTAGCACTGTTTTCATTGTACCACTTTCAGGGTTTGGCAATACCTTGCAATCTCTAGATTCCTTTTTTAAAATGATTCTCTCCCCTTCCTCAATGGAGGGGAATACATGAAGTCATTAGCATCTTGACTGGGTAGATTTGGGCAGCACAGGGGCACTAGTCATTGGGGAGGAAATGAGAGATGAAAGCAGAAGGAAAGGCAACCAAAAGAAAAAGGGGAGGCAGACAGCATCAAAACAGACTTAGATTCATAGAGTCTCAGATTTGGAAAAGACTTCAGGAACCATTTTGTCTGTCCTGCAGCTGAACAGGACCCCCCTCCCCCACCCCTCCTTCAAAACCCTGACTAGCAGTCATCACTTCCTTGATAACCTCCGGTGTTAGAGAATTCACTCCCCTCTGATAAAGCCCATTTCATTTTTGGGTAGATCTGACTGTTACAAAGCTTTTTTTTTAAAAAACACTTAATGCTTAATCTCCCTGCCATATCAACCCATTGCCCCTAGTTCTACCCCCCTGGACCTAACAGAAACATATTAACCCCGCTTCCACATAATAAGCTTTCACACTCTTGAAGACACCCCAAATCCACCTTTCTCTCCTCAATCTTCTCTAGGCTAATCACTCTCCTGTTCCTTCAGCTAATCTTTGTACTTTTACTTGACTAAGTCACAATTTTGTGATTTCTTCCCAAGCAGGTCAGCCAAGGTGGGTGGGCTACCCCTATCGAGATCTCTGCTAGCAATCAGTGATAACTCTTCTCCTCCATAAATATCCCAGCCCATGCCACCCTACATTGAGGCTATATTGTGCTGCCAGGGCATTCTGTCAGCTTGTTCAAGAATAATGATAACAGAAATGCAGAAAAGTCCCTCTGCCTCATCCCTTAGGAGATGCGCTATGGCTCATCACCTACCCCCTTGTTATTATTTGTCCTTCCTTCTCAAAGAGGACCGTGACATCAGGGAGGTGATGCCGTAACTTGCAAGTGAATTGGATTGAAGTGAGAGAGGGATGTGCAAAGTCACTAGCCTCACTTTCTTCTCCAGAGCCATCTGGGTCCAGTGACCAGATACACATCAGGATGCAGTGGAAGACCTTGGCCTTTTAAAGCTAAGTTCTTTAGCAGCTCTCAGTTTGACTGAGGCAATGCCCATTCAGTGATTAAGGCTAGGTTAAAAAAAATGAAGCAAAGAATGGCCTTTCTAACCTAGTCCAAAATAAGAAAAATCAAACTGGGAGGGGAATATTCTGAGGGTTTCTGGAGGAAACAGAAACAATTCTTATTTACATTCACTCTGAGTCAATATGGGCCCAAACAATGACCAGGCTACATTTTTACATAACTTAAATCAAAATCACTCTTGCTCTCAAGCCAAACCCCACTTGGTCATTGTGAGACTTGGCTTTAGGCCTGTACAGAATATCTACAAGGTGATGGGAGGGGATGGCTCGCACAGCTAAGGGAGAAGATCAGTAAAGCCTCACAAGGAAGTACACTTGAAGAAAAGTAGGGATTCTGAAAGACAGAGTGAGTTCATTTCAGGCATAGAGGAAAGCCAATGCAAAGGAACACAGAAAGGAAATCAAATGTTGTATATAGGGAATATTGATAAGGCCAGTTCAAATGGACCACAGAGTAGATATAATGTGTAATAAAGCTGAAGAAGCAGATTTGGAGCAGGTCATAAGGGTTTTAAATGTCAAAAGAGAGGCCTTCACATTTGCTCTTAGAGGTAACAAGGAGCCCCAAAGTTTATTCAGTGGAACAGTGACGTAGTTACACCTTCATTTTAAAAACAGAGTAAAGTGAGGGGGAAGGAGAGGTTCATGATGAGATTCTGGGTGGTTTTGGTTGGGTGGGTTGAGTTCTTAGGAGCAGAAACTTACCAAAGTTGACCACATGGGCAATGGTGTGTATGAGTGTAAATCCAAACACCACATAGCCTACGAGCTGGTGGAACTCAACGTTCTGGTCCAATGGGAAAACTCGGGCCAACCATGTGGCCCTTAGCCACGTGAGACAACGCCGCAGCATCAGCACCTAGGAAGGCCATGAGGTGGTGAGGGGAGAGAAAAAGAAAAGGATCAGTGACGGCTCCACACCTGTGCCTCTTTCTGTTCCATTTGCAATTCTCTCTGGAAATAGACTTATTGCATCTTCCTAGGCCAGCCAGGTTCTGAAAGTACTGTTTTTTGTTACTTCTGTCCCCTGCTCAGGGACTGACACAAAGTCTCCAGAATCTACAAGATAAAACTCAAATGATTCTGCTTGACATTCAAAATTCCTTAGCTTTTCTTCATCCTATGCAGGTGGTATGAACTCACTCTACCTTCCCAACCATACCCCCCCCACCCCATTATTCTCCAACATGAAATGTCTATTCTAGCCAAGATGGTCTCCTAACTGCTGCCTGACAACTTGGACCATTGCTCATGTCACCCTGCTTCCTTGGGATGCCTTCCAAGGCTCTTCTCCATCTACTCAAATTTTACTCAGAAGATATATGAATCTTAGAAATTCATGTTATCAGGCAACTTGCAAATATGCACACATATAATCACAGCTTTAGAGCTATAAGGAACCCCAGAGGCCACTCGTCCAACCCCTTCATTTGCAGGTGAGAACACTGATTCCTTGAGACTTTCCCAAAGTCATCCTGAAAGTAGCAGAGATGGAAACAGGCCCAAACCTGTTTTATAACATCTGAAGTACAGTTTTTCCATAATATGGTTACCCCTGATTTCACCTCACCTTCCAAAATGAAGACTGTCTTGGCTGAAAGGAGATAAAACTAGAGGCACAAAACAAGGCTTGCTTCTCAATTGTGGCCAGTGTGTTAATTTGTTTTGTTGACTATACCTATTTGTTACAAGGGAGGTTTTTTGTTTTTGTGTGTTTTGAGGTGGAAAATCCTAGTCGGGATAGGCAATTAGGTGAAGCAGTGGGTAGAACACTGGGCCTGGAATCATGAAGACATCTTTCTGAGTTTTCAGACATTTATTAGCTTTCTGAACTTGGGCAAATCTCTCAAGCCTGTTTGCCTCAGTTTCCTCATCTGTAAAATGAGCTAGAGAAAAATATGGCAAACCCCTTCAGTGTTTTTGCCAAGGAAACTCAAAACAGGGTCAGGCCTGACCAAAATGATCGAACAACAACAAGAAGTCCTAGGGAGAGGGTAGATAGTAATAATGATGCACAAAAGAGAAGAAAAGAAAAAAACCCAGAACAGTATCAATGAAACATTAAAAAACCCAGAAAAGAATAGAAAGAAGTTCAGAAGAGGACATAGATAAGCAGGACAGTGATGGAATTATCAAGTTAAATTTAACATGTACTTGTTAAAAAATTGCATATAATACAGGTTCATGGTGTCATATACAACCCTCTTTTTCTGTACATTACATAAGGAAATAACATTGCTTGATGCATGTTAAATTCATAATAATAACAAAGGAAAATTTTTTAAAAAATAAACAAAACGAAGACATACCTGAGACAGGAGGTGAGGCTACTGACCAAATTAAAGTTAGATTTTTTTGAAAACTTAATTTACTGTCTCTAGTGACCATAGATAATTGAGAATTATCTGTATTTAGGGGGGTACTTCCCCATCTTCCCTTCACTTTCTACCATCCCCAGCCCTTCATCCTTGAGTAAATGACTCTGTGTACTTCTCCAAAGTAAGGAAAAGACCTCAGCTCTGGGAGCTGAGCAATCCTGGAGTTCTAAGGCTGTATCTGAGACCTTCCCTCTTCTTTCCTCTCCATTCCTTCCCATCTAACCTTCCCATGATGCCCTGAAGGAAAGTCCACGTAGTCCTCACCACAATGAAACTGCAGTTGAAGTTCAGACATTGGCCACCACCTCTGGCCACCATGAGACTGGCTCCTGAGGCCTGGTACTTCAGGGCTGCCAGGGTGAAGAGCAGGATGTTGACCCCAATGTAGGCTGCCAGAACGGCCAGCTTGCCAGTGTTGTTATGCCAGTATGCTGAGGTCAGGAAGCGGGGCATCTGTGGCCTTTTCTTGGAGGATGGAGGCTTTAGCCAACTGGCTGCACTGTGAAAAGGAAAAGTAGTTTCCATTCAATGGAGAGGGCACCTACTTATGGGGGAAAGGCTGATAAGTGAGTTTAGGGAATAAGAGAGAAAGAGAAAGAAAACCTTGGCATACCATGAATAACAACCAAAGTGAACAAACAACAAAATGGGTAAACTGCAAAATGGATAATCTATACAATGCATTGTCTACATGTAAGGGAAAAGCTGAAGGAAGAAAGGAAGGAATAAATGAAGGGAATATTTTAAAATCCTATTATATGCCAAGAACTTTACAAATATTATTTCATTTGATCCTCACAACAACCTTGGGAGATAGATGTTATTATTATTTCAATTTTACAGTTGAAGAAACTGAGGCAATAGAGGTGAAGTGACTTGCTCAGGGTCACAACCAGTAAGTGTCTGAGGTGAGATCTGAACTCAGGTCTTTCTGATTGTAGTGTTATTACTCTATCCACTGTGTCTACATAATAGATAACCCACAAATTGGGAAAAATACAAAATAGATTATTTATAAGATTAGTAAATGTTGGGGCAGATAATCTACAAAGCTCACAAATCCATGAAAGGGATGATCTACCAAATACCAAGGGAGAGGATCCAAAGAGAATAGATCATGATCATCACCATTGTCAGGAAGTCTTCATTTACGAACCTGATTGTATTTGGCCTGATAGTTCAACAGCTGTCTAAAGTGTGATGTACCTGCTGTGAAGGAGCTTAATCAGTCAGTCAATAAACATTTATTAAGTGCCTACTATGTGCTGGGCACTGTGCTAAGTGCTTTACAAATATTATTTCATTTGATCCTCACAACAATCTTGGGAGGTAGCCACTATTTTTCTTCTTCCCATTTTACAGTCGAGGAAACTGAGGTGGATAGAAGTTAAGATAAGCATCAGATAGTAAGAATTCTGATGTTTATATGGCCCAGTGGCTACCACTTACACATGTGCCTTTTAGGGAGTGCTAGACTTGGTTCCAATTAACTGCTGGTCTTCTGTAATGACCCTATTAGCCTCCCCTAAGCTTAGCACTTAAACTAAACTCCTAGATGAGGACCTCCTTCAAAAGGCCTTTCCTGACTCAGTTCTTAGTATGACTACTGTGTAGTCACTATGTATTTATATTGTACGTATCTCATATTTACTTGTTGGGTCCCCAGTCAGTAGAGTATAAGCTCCTTGAAGGGAAGGGGCTATCTTACTTTTGTATCAATATCCCTAGTGCCTAGCACAGTGCTTGGCACATGCTAAGTGCCTAATAAGAGATTTTTGATTGATTGGTCTAAGATAGAATGACGTGCATAAACATAGTACAATATATACAGAAAGCCAAAGAGAAATAGTAACTGAACTGAAATGTAGACAGTGAGTGATGGGTTAGCATCAAATTCAGGCTAGGGTGAGGGCGTTTGGTGACGGACAGTTGGTCCAACATGGATGCATCTGCTCGAAGTCAATAGTACCTGATGGTTAAATTTTCCATGACCTCAGGAAAATTGTCTAATTCCTCCCGGAGCTCCTCAAAGGTGATAGAGCCATTATGGTCTTTGTCAGCTGATTCAAAAAGGGCCAGGGTAAGGTCATCCAGCTTCTCTTCTGGCAGGGAGATGGAGCTCTCCTTCAGACAAGACTGCAGCACGGTGCGAAGCTCATCTGGATCAATGGACCCACTGCCTGGCATGGAGAAGTAGGAATTGTCATGGGGAGGAGTGGTCCCTCTTGACACCACAGAAACATAAATTTAGATCCAGAAGGGTTCTTAAGAGTCTATCAAGTCCAATATTATAATTTCACAAATGAGAAAATGGAATTGGCCAGGGTCACATAGATAGTGAGTGCCCAAGGTACTCACTATTTTTAAAACCCTCACACTTGGAGGCTTCTCACAATGTAAATTCCCACAGCTTCCTAGATGATGTCCTTCCAAAAAGAAAATGAATGACTATGGCCAGGCACAACTCCCTTCTAAGGGAACAGAGTGGTACAATGAGAAGAATGCTGATTTATACCTGGATTCACCAGTTCTACCTGAATCCAAGTTTATCACCCTCTTCCTTTTCCCATAGATATCCCATAATCTATCCAGGGGATAGTTGATAGAATGAGGTGCAGATAAAGGGCATCATGTAACCTTCTCTGATAAAAAAACATCGACTTAACAACCATTTATTAAATGTCTACTATGTTTAAGGTAGGGCAGCTAGATAGCACAGAGGATAGAGCCCAGTCTTGGAATCAGGAAGGCTCATCTTTGTAACGTCAAATCTGACCTTAGACACTTCCTAGCCATGTGACCCTAGGCAAATCACTTAACTCTGTTTATTTCAGTTTCCTCATCTGTAAAATGAACTGGAGAAGGAAATGGCAAACCACTCCAGTATCTCTGCCAAGAAAACCCCAAAAGGGGTCACAGAGAGTTGGAAACAACTGGAATGACTCAACAACAAAATGTTCAAGGTATTATGCTAGATGCTGAGGATACAAAGATTTTTTTTTGATGGCACTTTGCTCTTAAGTAGTTTACTGGGTGTATGGAGTGTGTGTATGGAGAGTCACAGTTCTGTTAGGGTCTGCCACCTATTCACATTATAGCTCTGAGTTCACTTCTCCATGATTTTCCCAGGCCAAGCCAGTAGACTCATAATGTCAAACAGAAAGCACTTAATGAAACAGAATCACAAAGAGGTAGCAGGAATTAGGGGAAAAGGGAACAAGGGTACAAAGGGAACATTTATTAAGTGCCTACTATGTATCAGGCACTGTGTTAAGTGCTTTATAAATAGTATCTCACTTGACCTTCACAACAATGCTGGGAGGTAGTACTATGATTATTCCCAGTATTACAGTTGAGGAAACTGAGGCAGTAGAGGTTAAGATTAGATAATTAGATAATAAGAATTATGACTCTTTTTATAGCCCAGTGGTTGCTACTTGTATATATGCCTTCTAGATAGTGCTAGACTTGGCTCCCGTTAACTAATGGGCATCTGTAATGATCTCATTAGCCTCCTCACACCACTGAATAAAGCCCTTGGGAAGTTCAAAACCCCTGAGTCACTCAGACAGAATAAGACTAGCAGTAACAGCTCAAAACCCTTTTCCCTGCCATGGAAGAGTTTGAATATCAACTACCTGTCAATTCCCAGGAATCTCCCCTCTCCTCCCCCTTTTACTCCCCACTAGAATAAATCAGCCCCAGTCCCCAGGTTCAGGCTCCTCACTCCCTCCTCATGATGTGCGGTCCTGTTTGACCCAAATAAGAATCCTATATCTGGTTTTGTGGACCCATTTCCACCTAGGGGTCTGGGTGGACCTGACCCATTTTGACCAGATTTCCTGACTATCCTGAAGTAGATGAAATTTGTTTGAAGGGTCTCTGTCCTCCCACCATTAGCTCCCTTTCCTATGCATTTTGATGAACCTTCTACTAAGTGCCTGGTGGCCATCTAAGGTCTCCCATTTGGAGCTCAGGGCTGGTCATAGGTAAGCAGAATAGGTAACCATCAGTAAGTCAGTCAACAAGTATCAAGTTCTTACTCTTTCTCGGATGCTGCGAATACAAACAAAAGCAAAAACGTGATTCTTACACACTTTAATGGTGAGAGACAACATGCAAACAACACAAAATAATCTCAAAGGAAAAGTACTAGGGCACAGAAAACAGAATCCCCCTACTTGCCCCAAAATTCTCCAGCCACCTCCCTCTTGCCTGACATTCCTCTACCAAAAGACAAAGTTACTCATTCTCCAGAGAAAGATCGAGCTTACAGTGGAAGTAGCCTGGGATCTAGTGGCAAAGTGGATAGAGTAGAAAAACCTGTCTTCCTGAGTTCAAATCCGACCTCAAATACTTACTAGCTGTGTGACCCTGGGCAAGTCACTCAAGTCTGTTTGCCTCCATTTCCTTATCTGTCAAATGAGTTGGAGAAGGAAATGGCAAACCACTTCACTTGCAAGAAAACCCCAAATGGGGTTACATAGAGTCAGAAATGACTGAAAATGACAAAACAACAAAAAGCCTTGGGAGAGAAAAATATTTCACCCTTCTTTCCTCTTCCCTAAAATTTCCATCATTCCATTGTAGTCATCAGATTCTGCCACTGTGGCCAGCCCCTTACCATCCAAATCATACACCTGGAAGAGGAATTTGAGTTTGTCCGTCGTGTTCCCGTGGATGAGTAGATTCAGAGCCCCCAGAAGCTCTTGTAGGGTGATGGTGCCGCTTCCATCAGAGTCAAACAGGGCAAAAAACCTCTCTGCAAAGAAGGACTGTGGGAATCACAAAGTGTTAGAACCTTAGAAGTCACATCATCTTCGTCATCATCATCATCATCATTATCATGCCATTTTAAAGTGAGCATTTACAGAATATTTTAACATTTGCAAAGTGCATTACAAATATTATCTAATTTTATCCACACACTTGAAGATAGATGCTATCCCAATTTTACTAATGAAGAAACTGAAGCAGAAAGTGGTTAAGTGACTTTCCCAGGGTCATATAGCTAGTAAATGCCTGAGACTAGATTTGAACTCTGGACTTCAAGGCCAGTACTCTAACCACTGTACTATCTAACACCTAGTCCTCCTAACTGATACAAGAATCTCCTAGACCATTGTCAAAATCTGCTTGAATACTTGTATCAATGAATACTTCCTATCAATGGGAGGTCAACTCCTACAGGAAATAGGTACAATTATGAGAAAATTCTCAGCATAGGCAATTTGCCTCCCTGTGGCTTCTATTTTAGGCCTAGCTCTGTCTTCTGGAACTACAGAGAATAAACTTTATCTCTGTTTCATATGGTAGCCCTTCAGGAAACAAACTGTGAGGTCCACAATCAGGACCCAGGCAACACTGATTTTTATTTTCTTCCTTTCACTGGGTATGCCTGCCTTCTGCAGGGAGATGTTAGAATAAGCAGGGTGGAGATGCTCTGCTCACAGCTGGCCAGAATTTTTGGGATTATATCCTTTCAATTCAATTCAATTCAGATCCCTGTGTGAGAGAATGCTCACTTGCCCAGGCATATATTTCAAGGAAAACAGTGGACACCTCAGAAACATCTTATCAGATCACTGTCTCACATCCTAGGGAATCAAGGCTAACTGAGACTCTCACTCTTGTTTATAAATGAAAATAATTTATTGGACTTTGGGGGAATTCTGCCCTTACAGGCCTGAACATTTTATATATATATATAAAACATACAGTATATACAGTATATATATGAGTATATACTTATACATACATATGTATATGTACACACATATATGCACATATATGTACATATATATACACAGAGTACTGGGACAATCTGTTTAAGACTCAGGATCAGTGACATAGGCTACTAAGGAGACATGCCTGCTGGTAAATATTTAACAATCAGCTCTGAAAAAATGTACTCAGGACACACTTTTGAGTTTAATCTGCATTATTCATATTTTCTCCATCACTTTCATAAGTCTAGACAATCAATAAAATAAAATCAAGTCCTGATTTATCTTGCTGAATTTGGAGGAATAAATTCTCATACTGAAAATTTAAGTAGCAGGTTTAGAGCTAGCTCAGCATATCTCTGCATGTGACCCACCACAAAATGACTACCTAAAAAGGTCATTGCTAGATACTAGGGATTTCTCCAGAATGCAAAGTCAAGTTCCCCTAATACCGACGAGTTGCAGCAACTCCACAGCAAATAATATATATGGAAAGCCCAGCAGGACTGACTTTGATCACATGGTTACCAGCAAAAAATTAATCTCTTCTTCTGGTTCTTTCTGATAATATGGTAGCCTGGAGAGAAGTAATATACTAGTGACAGCAATTACACTGTTGTGGAGGAACTCTCTATATGTGAGACATTTTTTAGGTAAGCCTTGAGCCAGCAAGGAATCAAGCCTGATAAAAACAGGAAATGCATGTGGAAGTACTTAAGGCAATTTGAATGGAAGGAAGGGAATGCTGAACAAAAATGTTGAAAAGAAGAATTGAAAAGACTTGGAACATAGCCAGTCATGGTCTAAACCAGGGGTGGGGAACCTGCAGCCTCAAGGCCACGTGTGGCCCTCTGACTAAATCCAAACTTCACAGAACAAATCCCCTTAATAAAAGGATTGTCCTGTAAAACTTGGACTCAGTCAACAAGCTGCACCAAGGACCTAGAAGGCCACATGTGGCCTCAAGGCCACAGATTCCCTACCCTAAAAAGCTGTGGATGAATATATCAGGTCAGGATCAAGCTATTCCTGACACTTCCAGGTGAAGCAAGTGGAATATTAGTACTGCTCCCACCTAATAATAATAACTAACATTTATATAGTGCTTACTAAGTGCTTTATAAATTACTCTTATCTGATCCTCACAACCACCCTGGGGGGTAGGTGCAACTATTATCTCCATTTTACAGTTGAGGAAACTGAGGCAGACAGCAGTGAGGTGATTGCCCAGGGTCACACAGCTGATAAGTGTCTGAGGCTGGATTTAAACTCAGGTCTTCCTGACTCCAAGCCTAGTACTCTATCCACTGCACCATCTATCTTCCCTAAAGGGGAACATTTCATAAAGGAAAAAAAGATCACCAGATTTTCATTGGTGGGGCCCTCAGCTTTCTTGGAAGCAGTGAACAGACCAATCCTTCATTTCTTAAGTCCTTTATTACTTTTTCTTTGGGTGGAATATAAGCTCCATCTTGGGCTTATGAATAAGCACTTGCCTCTTTCACTTTCAATGCTGTCTTGAATTCTTGCAAGTCAATTTCCCGGTCTTCTCCAGCAATGGTCTCAAACTGGCGTGACACCCACTCCAGCCACTTAGCATCATCATCAGCATTCATGGCACTGAGGAACCAAAGGGAAATTTCTGGCTTGTCAATGGAAAGAGGACCAGGAGCCAGAAAGAAGGTCCCAAATGATCCAAGTACTTTTGCTCCTGCCCCAATTAGGGGCAGGTTTCATTTGAAACCTATGACTTGGACATTGCTCTTTGACTTTCTGGTTACAATGAATACTTGTGGACTCAGGGCTAGAAGGAAGGAAGGAAGGAAGAAATAAAGGAAGGAAGGAAGGAAGGAAAGAAGGAAGGAAGGAAGGAGGGAGGGAAGGAAGGAAGGAAGGAAGGAAGGAAGGAAGGAAGGAAGGAAGGAAGGAAGGAAGGAAGGAAGGAAGGAAGGAAGGAAGGAAGGAAGGAAGGAAGGAAGGAAGGAGGGAAGGAAGGAAAGAAAAGATTCTTTATTAAGCACCTATTATGCACCAAGCATTGAATTAAGCAAGAAATATGAAATCCAATTAAGTGAAAATAGCTTCTGTCCTGAGAAGACAGCTTACCTTTGGTGTCAATTACTGATTTTGCTCATTCTTTCTGATCTTCTGAATTTTTTTTATCACTTCCAGATCCATTGTACCTATCACCATGCCTTAGTAGATCCCTCGGACTAGAACTGTTGCACACCTAGACCTATATAGCATACCAGAGACCTCCCCTCAAATACAAAAGCATTTATATTATGACTCCAGTGTAACAGGGTCCTGGTAAAAATAGATGCCAGAATCCAGAGAAAAAGTCAGGAGAACAATCCTCTGGGACTTATGACAAGCAAAAAACTGAACAAATTATATATAGGATTATCAATTTACAGGAAACCTCACTCAAAGCAAATCATTCTATGATTGAAATGAAGGCATCTCCTGATAAGATTAATATTCTTTCTCTATGTTGGCAGGAAAGAGACAACTTCAAATGGAAACAGTGGGAAATAATTTGCAATCTTGGGACTGTAGCCTGACATGAAATGTTGCTGAAATGAATTAAGGGTCATGGTGGTAAGATGAGGAACACTGTAATGATAAGTACATGTAGAAAAATGAAGGTCCCTGTGGAATACATACCTGCTTACATACTTGTGTGTATATATATATGCCTGAGAAGTATATATACACATATGTATACACACATATATGTATACATACATATACATACACATGCACATACACATATACAAATATACATATATGCAATACACATATATACAAATATACATATAAAATATACATATAAATACACCCACACCCACATATATATATATATATATATATGTGTGTGTGTGTGTGTGTGTGTGTGTATATATATATATATATATATATATATATATATATATGTATATATATGAAGATGGCAGCTGGCCTTTCTCCAGACCAGTTCCAATAGAATTCCCTTCTCCCATCCCCTCAACTGCAAATTCTTTTAGGACAGGGATTTTTTTTAATTATTTATTAAGCCTCCCAAGTGCTTGGAACATAGAAGACAATAGATGCTTATTGAATTGCAGCCTATTTCCAGGACTGACTGGGGAGAGAGGCTCTAATTCTATGTGACTGGTTCCTTAGACAGAAACAATGTTTGGGTGGATAAGGACATTTGATCAGGTCATGCCATCTTTGTTAGACTTATCCTATACGTGACAAAAAGCCTCTTACTCTGTAATCTGGTCCCCTAAAAAAATAAAGAAATTTCCCCTCCAGGGAGGTAGCTGTTTTTCCAGAATACCAATGCTGGACATCAGGTCAAGTATTACTGCTGGGATAATAAATTGACTGGGAGACTAGCCAAGATGTCAGAGTAGGAGGAAATAGTACTGCCTAGCTCCCTCCAAAACTACTCCAACAATGATCTAAAAAGAACACCAGACTAAGCAGGACTTCAAAGAAGAAATTATAGTGGGTCATGTCTATAGCCCAAGATCACAAATTTGGCCCATTTGCAAGTGATCAAGGGAGAAATTATGGAGGCAGTTTGGACCGGGATTACAGACTCATTACCCAGAACTGCGAGCTAGGCCTATAGCACAGAGATGCCCACAACTGATCTTGGAGCTGGGCCAGCAGCTCAGGAGGGATCTCCCAAAGGGTTTGGGATCATAGACTTAGATCCAAAAGAATTCTTAGCTAGCCCAGAAATGCTGATTACTGGAAGAATGACTAAAAAAAAGATAAAAAACCATTATGAGATTAGGGATGCCCAAGACATAAACCAAGAAGAGGAAAACTCCAAAATGCTCACAAGAAAAGCAAACCCAGGTTGCCCACAAGATCAATTAGAATTACTAGGAAAAATTGAAAAGAATTGGAAAAGAAATTAGAACTATGGGAAAAGACCTGAAAGAGAACTAACAGCTTAGAACAAGAGTTACAAAACCTTACCCAAGTAATAGACTCACTGAAAATTAAAATGGACAAAATCAGAATTAATGACAATGTGGAAGAAAAAAGAAATATTAAAACAAAGCCAAGGTGTCCCATGCCAAAAACAGATCAAAGACAGATGATTTAAGAATCATTGTACTAACTTAAAGTGATGTCTGAAAAAAAAGCCTAGAAATCATGAAAGAAAACTGCTCACATTTCTTAGAACCAGAGAGAAAATTTCAATGTGAAGTGTTTACCAGCTACTGCCTAAAAGAAATTGAAAACTCCTGGAAATGTAATGGCCAAAATCCAAAGGTTGCAGGTCAAAGAAAAAATACTGCAACAGTCCTAAAGGAAAGATTCTAGGTAGCAAAGAACAATAATTAGGATCACACAAGATTTAGTTGCTACCACTATAAAGGAAGAGAACATGGAATACAATATTCCAAAAGGCAAAAGATACAGGCTTACTATCAAGAATACAATTAAGAATTATTATCCAGAAAAGCTAAATACAATCTTACAGGAGACAAAAATGGATCTTTAATGAAGTGGAAGACTTTCAATCACCTCTAAAGAAAAGACTAGAATTTAATAAAACTAAAATACAAATATGGGAATAAAGAGAAACACAAAAGATAAATGAAAGTGAGCAATCAGAAAAGACTTTGCAATTATAAAGTTTTTGCATTTTAATTGGGGAGTGACGATACAAGCATCCTTTAAAAATGGTGATGTCAGCAGGGGTCACAGAGGGAGTAAAATAAAATGGAGAGCCTTGGAGTAATTTTTTGTTATATTTTGATGATCTTAAAAAGAGAAAAGAAAGGGAGAGGGGAAAAAAGATACATTAAGGGGGAAAGGGAGAGGACTGGGACTTATCTCAGATAATCAGGGGTACAAATAGAAGACTATACAATTGAAAAAGGGGTAGGGGTAACATGTATCACTTGAACCTCACCTTGAATGATTCACAGTGAAGTGAGAAGAACCAAGAGGAGGGGAAATCTACTGTAACAATAACATTATACAAATGAATAATTGTGAAAGTCTTAAGAACTTTGATTGACACAATAGTCAGCTATGCTTCCAGAGTTAGAATGCTGTCTACCTCCTGGTAGAAAGGTGATAGACTAGGCATCCAAAGTAAAACATGCATGACTGGGCATGGCCAATATGGTGTTATATTTTGCTTGATTATACATGTTTGTTATAGGGGGATTATTTTTTTTTTCAGTTAGGAGAGGGTAGGAGGTTGTCAAACTCCAATTTATTACATAGTCTATTCTAAGAAAGAGACAAATGAGATTAGGATGCATGTGTCCTCAGTTTAATTTCTCTCAAGCTGGCTTGACATGCATTGCATGGGAGTTCAGTTCAAAATTGGGCCCTCCTAAGGAGGCCAGTTCAGAGCTGGCTTGATTTTGAATTTTGGGGTACAGAGTTCTATGCCCTTTGAAGGGTAGTTGTTTCTAAAGGGTGCCAATCATCTATGATTGGTCGCCACACTGAGGGGTGGGGGTTATATTAAAATGAGGGTCTCTGAATATGTGACCCAGGTCACTCAATCTTGGTCAACAGAGTTGTTATCACCCACCATCCAGGCAAAAGAAATACCACCCCTAGTCTTGGGAATCTGTCCCTACCCAAATCTGAGGAGGATAAAATCAATTCAGGCCTGGATTTGGAGTTTGACCAAGATAAGAAGATTCAATGCAATCTCATTATCAGAAATGTCCTTCTGAAGAACTTTGAACAGAAGAGTACAGGGGGGAGCTCTGAGTCTCCAAGACACAGATTACTTAGAGAAATAATTTTTCACAAGGTAGAAAGGTCAAATAACTCCTACCAATTTTAAAAAAACAAATTGACTTTCTGACTTATAAACCCTGAACCATCTGGCAATATAAATGGTAGTAAAAATAGCCATACCCTTTGACCTAATAATCTTATTATCAGAAATATATCCCAAGGAAACACTTAAAAAAGAAAAAAAAAATTACTAGTAGAAACAGCTATTAATCATGTAATGTGGAATGGAGTTGGAAGAAGTCATACAACCATAGGTGCACTGCAAATTCATGCTATGTAAACCCAGCTGGACCCTCACCAGAATACAGCAATCCTTTCATTCTTCCTTAATTAACTCTATCATAGTCCCCACAGAGGCCATTCTAAATCTTCTCTGCTCTCCCCAAGCTTCCCACACCATCCTCTTCAGCTGTGGATATTGTCTCTTACTTCAGAGAGAAAATTGAGGCCATTCAAGATGAGTTCCTTCTTTCCCTGTTCCTGTCTAGATCTCCAAACCCCTTCACATTATTCCCCATTCTTTTTTCCTTTGCTACAATCTCTGGTTCAAAGGTGACTTTTCTCCTTGCTGAAGCCAACCTTTCCATATGTACTCTTTTTTTTTGTGAGGCAATTGGGGTTAAGTGACTTCCCTAGGGTCACACAGCTAGTAAGTGTCATGTGTCTGAGGCCAGATTTGAACTCAGGTCCTTCTGACTCCAGGGCCAGCACTTCATCCACTGGGCCACCTAGCTGCCCCTCCATGTGTACTCTTGATCCCATCTCCTCATGTTTTCTCTGCCAGAATTATTTCTTCTCTCCCTAATCTCTCCCTGTCTATTGCTTCTTTCTCTTTTACCTATAAA